TTAGAAATAACAAATCAACTTTTACAAATCAATTAAACAAGCAAAAAAATAATTCTTATTTACAAATCAAATTAAACAAATCAACTTTTACAAATCAATTAATCAAAAAATAAATCTTATTTCCTCATCAATTGTAACAAATCAACTTTCAATGTAAAATTAAATTAAACAAAGAAAAAAAGTGTACCCAAACTGTTGTTTATGCACAAATACATTTCACGCAGCTCACTTCAGGATTAACCTGCAGAAATCAAACATTTGCTCAAACAACACTTTCTACACATCTAAAACCAACAAACAATAAATTATTGAATTCTAGGTACTTAACCAAATATTTTCAAACCAATTAAAGAGTATATATGTTAACAACACTTGCTCAAACTTACCCATTGTTTATGTACAACTTTCAGCACGCGGATACAGGTAGGCAACGTCTCGAATATATCGATCTGGCCATATAATATCGAAACCACAAGCCTACTACAGCTCTATCTCTATCTGTGGGAGGTAGATATTGTATACTTCCTATCGTCAAACGTTCCAAGCACAAGCATACGAGAGGACCACAATCCCCTCTGACTCCCTGCGTTTGTTGTGGCGCAATCTCGTCTCTAATCATTGTAATTTTGAACTTCTTTGGCTTCTTATTTCCAGATTTTGTCCAATAATCAATCACATTCAAGAATGTAGCCAAATGATCGCTACATCTCTTTGTAATAATATCTCTCAAATCAGAAAATGATATGTAATTCAACATGCTGTCATATACCATTGTCTTCAGGGATGGGAGATGAAGCTCGACGAGAAGCCAATGACGCTTTTCCAAAAACAAGGATAAACACCTACAATCATAAATAATTGCGTACATCAAATAAAATTTATGAAAACCTTTAAAATATTCAAAAAATAAATACTAACCTTATCGATTTCCCACCACGCAGGATAAAGTTTAGCTTTTCCATTAGCCAACTTATATGAAGCATCTCTCTGATCCTTCAAGTGATTTGCGTGAAAAGACGTCGGCATAATAGTCCATCGAATACCTCTTTTCTTCAATTTCCTTATTATTAGAAGATGTGACACCCATACATCAATATGTTGTTTTATAAAAAAATAAATATATTAGTGAATTTATTAATAATTTAAAAAAAAATTAATCAAAATGCAATATAAGAAGAATATAATACTTACCCCATCGAGGTAGCCATTATCTTCAACCCCTAATAAAATACCCCACCAAGATCGATCAAGAAACAAATTAATATCATAGTCGATTTGGCATAGGTCAGAATAACACCCCTTGCTCCGCTCATGTAGATAAAAATGAACTACGGTCTTAGCCCAAAGGGTATTATCCGTAATTGTGTCCGGTAGTGTTTCTATCTCCTGCTGAGGAATGGTACTGGCCGGTAACTCATACAAAAGCCAACACACATCCATCATATTAGGCACGGAAGGTGGTTTATCAATATGTCAACATATGACGCCAAATGAATCGGGCTCTTGAACGGCGGGAGGGACTACTTGAACAATGACAGTGGCCTCTTGAACGGTGGGAGAGGCTTCTTCGATGGTGATAGGGGCCTCTTAAACGATAGGAGGTGCCTCTTGAATGATGATAGGTGCATCGGGCTTATTCTTACGGAGTCTTGGCACTAGTGGGGTGAACGGAGACGTAATGGCACGTGCACGACGTCTGATGTGTGAACCCCGTCGTGCAAGAAAAACCCGACGTAAAACATCTACTTTAACGGGCCGCTAAAAATAAATTAATATATAAATCAGTAAATAAATAAATAAATAATGTCGAAAAAAAGTTATTTGCATTTTTAGTATAGTATTAAACAAATTTACCTCATTGCGTAGAGTATTAACCTCATTCTGCAACAATAAAATAATCTCGCGTAGAGCGGAAACCTCATCACGTAAGGTAGATACCTCACCGCATAGCGCACCATTGTCATCGCGTAAAAAATCCACCTCACCACGTAAAGATCGAACCTCATCACGCCATGCACCATTATCTTCACGTAAAGTACCGACCTCATGACGCAAAGCACCGACCTTATCACGTAATTCCCCTAACTCATCCCGTGGAGGTGGAGAATATGGAGATGGAGATAGACAGAGCCTCTTTGTCGATCGCCTATCATGAGGTAATGGTGGAGAAGAGGCTCGATGATGTGATGGAATAGGTGATGGTGGAGGTGGAGAAGAGGTTCAACCAGGTGATGACTCCGGGTGTCGAGCTATAGAATCGGCCCGATAGGGTGATGGCTCTCAAAGTGGGGGTGCTCATCATCCGTCCCATCAAAAAACCGCTTACTAGCTTGCCACCAGTCAGTGGCAAGCTCAGCATATGAGGGTGTCAGCCTCTGTAATGGGTAGTTGGCCTCCTAACAATATAAAAGCTAAAACAAAGTTAAACGTGTACTAGTAATAACTTGTTTATATATGGTAGTATTTGTGTGTTAACTTACATCATTAATCGTCGTATATGGGAGTAAGTCTTCCCAATTCAACATGCGTTTCCTCTTCCAGGTAATAGCCCTAGGAATATCATTTGATCTTTTTATCGCATATGTCCGCATGCTGGGGAAAGCCTCAAATATCCAAATCTACAAACAATATAATACACAAACATTAGTAATTGTTAAATAATTAATTATAATTTTGGAAACATTATATAGAAATTCTTACCTTAAAAGCCCAAGTAAAGCCTGTCAAAGTGTATTTAGAACCATCACCCCGCAAACTTTTTCGGTCCTCGAAGGCAGACGACAACTTCTTCCAGGTAGCTTTCCATATATATGAACCCCACGGAAACATGTTCCATGCATTTAGGTCCTCGGAGATTGGTTGTCTGCCCTCTTTGCCTAAAAAGCCGGCATGCAAAAGTAGTAAATGTCATACTTGGACAACATCAAGGTCATCCATCCGAGTAAAACCATCTTTATCAAATAATCTCTTCAAGTCGTCGACATGTATACTCGGCTTCGACTTTGCCAGCTCAGGAAAAACCCGATATAACCATGATGAGCGGGTGATATGACTAGTGTACCGTCCTACATCATCGTGTCCGAAGCGTAGACCGGTGATTAAGCAAAACTCCTCCCGCCCAAAACAAGTATACGCCGATGCCGGAGGAAAATGAAACCATATCTCTTCATCACTACGTTGTACCCCCTCGGGTAGATCGTTAGTCATGATCTGAAGAAACAAATGTGTCAACATAGCATCTCCACCCGGATGTTTTACTTTCAGCCATGGCCCGAAGCAAGTATCCTCAAACAATTTTCTTTGTAGAGGTGTAAGCGTCGATGCAATTTTAGTGGCTATGCTTAATTTATTCCTTAAGGTCAATTAAGCTGAAAAAAATTTCTACAAAAACAATAAACATACCAAGTTAGATATACCAAAAACTATAAATTATACATTACAAACAGACATGATATTAAACAGTGAAAACAAAGCCAAATATGTTTCAAACTAGCACGGTATTCACCCAAGTCATTATTCCATCATAGTTCACAAAATGCATCAGATAACATTCCAGAAGTAAGCACTTATATAAACATTTAAAAGGACAACATATAGGTTTAGTGCATGTTCAAGGACAACATAAAGAGTAGTAGTTTATTCTTGAAACTTAAATTAGCAACACTGTGAAGTTAGTATTTGTCTTTGTTTTTTGGTTGAAGTAATACAATTCATTCAAGTTTCAATTTGGCGAATAAAAGAAGTTTCTGAAACTTAAATTCGCAACGCGAAAATGAAAATCGCGTTGTGAATTTGGTATTGCGATTTAGGGTTTCTTCAACAAAAAGACAAAACAAAAAGACAAAACAAAGATAAATACTAACTTCATAGGGTTAAAGACTAAACAGTTTAGCAGTATTGACAGCAACCGAATGAATTTAGCAATCTTAGTGAAATGGTTAATCTAATAATAATACAAAAATTTCAAAATAAAAATAAGAGATTAAAAAAACTAACCCTCGGTTGTTGATTTTCCATTTCTGACCGTGAATGGTTGTGAGGGTTGATCTGAGAGATGGAGATAGACGGATTTCGTCGGAAATGGGGATGGATTTCGTCGGAAATGGGGACGGATCGTCGGAGATGGGGACGGATGTCACCGTAGAGAGTGAGAGATGGAGATGAGACTGAGTTGTGCTTTAGGGTTTTAGGTTAGAGATGATTTGCGATAATACTGTTTACATTTGTGTTGCGAAATTAATATTGTGTTTCGCGTAAAAACATTTGACTTTCGCATTGCGAATTTGACTTTCGCGTTGAGAATTTGACTATCGCGCAACGCGAATTTGGAAAATCGCAATGCGATTTACATATTTGCGTTGCGAAATTGGAAACTGGGTTGCGAAATTGGAATTCGCGTTGCGAATTTATTGGTCATTTTGGTAAATCAAAAAAAAAAATTGGTTAAATTTATATATTATAAGGCATTTTTGATCGCTGAGGTTATTTTCTCATTCTAAAATGGTGGCCGGTTTATATATGAAATTCTTTTGGTGTAAGAAAGGCCAAGTCCGCTAGGTGCGATAGAGACTGATTATATAAATACCTTTGTGGACAACGTCATTAGATGTGTTTAATTCAATTTGACTGAATTAATTTTTTAATTATTTACCATCATCATTATGTGAATATATTATTGTTCGAATATATGAAATCAAAAGAACAAATCACCTTAAACTAATTTAATCACTCAATGAGTTCAATTCAATATGATTAAGTTTAGTTTGATTAATATCACTGTTAATATAACACACAATAATATATGAAATCAAATATATTTAATATTATTTAATTTTATGAGAAATATTTTCTGACTCATTTTGCTTACATCGATGCAATTTCTTTATTTATTGAAACTGTATACAATGCAAAAAATAGAAGCAGAAAGAATTTTAAAATTTAAATCCTATAAAATTAATATATGTATAAATTCAATTAGAATCAACTTTGGATTTTCTGGTTTTTGTTAAAAGTTCTCTTTATGAAATTCGAACTTGGTGGATGTCTTGTGCGAAAAATCCAAAGCTAAACGCCTTAGCTCCTTGGTCAGTGCTGGTGCCCCACAGTAGAAAACTCCTGCACCGTTGAATTCATCCATGGAGCAGGTAAATAAATAATCATTAAACTAATGGCTAAGTCAGGGGCTTCTTGAAAAATGAAAGAGTACACACCAATTCTCGCGTCTGGATGATGAAGAGCGATCTTCTTGTAAACTTGACGCCAATCAGGTTTCGCAAAGTGCGATTTGACTCGAGTTCCCGAGACGACATCGACGCCGTTCTTGGCATGGTGAAGCGATTGAAGCATGGCGATGAGAGCCGATCGAGCGTCTCCTTCTTCGTACACACTGGTGCAATAGTTGTGGAGCTCGATCACCTTCTTTTCGTCCATCTCGGCAACTTCGTTCATTATACCTTTGAACCACTCGAACGAGCCTTGCTCCCTTGTCACCCAATAGAAGTAGGCTTTTCTCGTCTTGAACCCTTTGTTGGTCTTGTTGGTTTTATTTTTGTAACTCCCGTTCTCCATTGCGGATCCCGGAATCGAATCCTCTTTCACTTTCATGTTGTTGATGATGTCTTTTACAATGCTGATCATTGGCGTGGCACCGATTCCGAGCCCCACGAGGAGGAGCACATCGTACTTCATGTAGTCTTGTGCTGGTGCTCCGTATGGACCATCTATCAAAATCTTGGGAAAACTGTTCATCAATCAATGCAAAGAAATCAATAAACATGCCATATCAGGGAAGTTTATTTTGAAGTGGACACTACCAAGTGTTGGCTCCTTCGGCCCTGAGCAATCCGCTCTTCCCTGAAGCTGGAGGTTGACAGACCTGTTTAATATCCAATTTGAAGCTAAAATCGATTAGCCGAGCTCAAGTTTAAGCTTCGACGAAAAGCAAGTATACATCAGCGAACCTGAGAGAAAACAGTTTTGAGCTGCCTAGTCCAATCACCTAGAGTTCTAATATGAATGCTAAGGTAGGCGTCTCCTGGTGCTGAAGTGATCGAGAATGGATGCCTGCAATTACGAGTTGGTTTCAGTTACACTTACTAGAAGCAAAGCTCGATTATAAGGACGAGAGCTATCTACCGAGGACGGAAAAATCTGCGTTACCACTCAAATGGAGAGACTGCAGAACAGTTGACAAACATATATTGCCCACTTTTGTATTTGAATCCTTGGGGCTTTGACATGTGCAGTGACAGTACATTTCCAGGATAAACAGCGACCTTCCGTGTTTGATAAGAAACCAAAAAACTCAGTATGCTTCAAAGATATGTGAAGATTTTTACTGCAACCGAATGAAATGTAAGATACTTGAAATATATCAGACCTTGAGAATTTTAACATCCTTGATACTCGATCTTAAAGCTCGGATCAACCTTTCGCATGCGTAAAGAGTAATTGGTACTGCTAGATACATCCATGTCTGCAATTAAGTTACGGAGAACGACTTACTGTCAATGACATTGAACTAATGGTACATATTCAAACAGGGGAATCGAAATGGGACGAAGAAACATACTGTTTTCTGATACCATTTATCGGTGAGGTAGAGGTAAATGCCATGAACTATGAGGAGAACATAAACAATAACGAAAAGATGATGCGAGTACCAAAACGTGTTGAATCCGGTGAGCTTCTTAAGGAACTTGGGAAGGTTGAGCTTGTTGCGTCTGAACCAAGGAGTGGCTAATGTGAAGGTTATGGCCATTAACACCACCATTATAATGCCTGTCACACCTTCCACTCCCCTCACAAACCACCAGTAGTTTTCGGGTTGCTTCTCTCCAAAGAAAGGTTCCATAGGCCCATATTCTTCTTCGGTTGCATGGAGAAGCCGGGGGAAATCGCAGGTCAAATGCGCACCGCCGTGTAGGATCACCCCGACAGTGATCCCGACCGCAATAACCTTGTGGAAATTCAGGTTGTCATCGAAAGGAACCACAATGTCCAACTTAGTCTCGTTCCGAAGCCAAGTGATGGTGTTCCGGCACATCGGTAGCAATATTAAAGCCATGTTGAACTTAAGAGTCTCGGCACCACGTTTCGCGATGCAAACACAGTAGCCCATCACATCAAACACGGCCTTATTCTGGTACTGCACGAACTTATAAGCGAACAAACCGCTGACGATGCCTAGCCACAACATCATAACCCAGACCCTTTGCCAGTTATCCGTTAAGAAATACTTAACCTTCTGATACAACCGCTTTAACGGATTGTGCTCTTGAGTAGGTTTAAGTTTCTGGCTTAACATTTGACTCAAAACACGACTGTCACCAATCCTGACAGATTGATTTGGAGCTTGTAATAAAAGAGTTTCCAGATTGTAAATCTGTTCAATGCCAAAAAAAAAAAAAAACTATTAGGAAACAAAGAAACAACATTGTACAAAACGAAAGACAAAGATCTTGTTTACCATGATGTATCCAACATTATCAGGATCCAATTCTTCCATGATCAAAGCTGCATATTCTTCAGCCTGTTTCTGAATATTAGCAAGTTTGTTTGCAGAAGCACTGATACTGATAATCTACAATATAAAAAAAATATATTATTTGACAATTTTATTCATTTGTACCTGGTCAAATCATGTGAATTAATTCCTAGTTCTTACCTCCTTGACTTCTTCTTCAGTGATTCTTCCATCAGCATCTTTGTCCACCCTTTCATGATAATCAAACACTAAAATTAAAAAGATAAAATTTTCTTTGGATTGATCAAATTCTGTCTGAAAAAAAGAACTTTACATGTCAAAGAAAGTTTGGAGTCTAGAGTCGAAGCTTTCGCTAGAAATCTGATCCCAAAACCGTTTGAGCTGTATTTTATGAATCGAGCTTCCGTTTACATTATGTCGTCGAGCTAGTGCTTCAAACAGGTCACTAGCGAATTCTTTAGATTGGTTCATCCCTGTGTTAAATCACAGAGAGGAAAAAATTCGTAATGGAAATCGACAAAAAGAAACTTCACCCTTGTTGTTTGATTTCTGGATCATGAAAGACGTACCAATGCATTCAGCGAATTGGGAACGATGGAGAAGGCCATTAGTCGAGGAAGTTAAATCATCGAACCGTTTCAAGACAGCAGACCATCCATTTGCGGACGCTTCTGTTTTGGCAGTGATGAACTTGAGTCCCTTCAATGCATGAGCTGCTGCGGATTTCGACCGATTCAATCTCCTGTCCGAAGATCGTCTCGAGACCGCGCGTTTCAATTCCTGAGAAACGTGTTTGATTCGAGTCGATGTGCGGGTTCTCTTAGCTAGCAACGCTAACTCGGGGTCTTCATTTACACCGCCGGCGGCACCGTGAACGCTGTGAACAACCACGGAATCGTCGCGGATATCCAGGGTGATTTCCACAAACTCGTCGTCGTCTTCCTCAACCACAGCGGCGTCGGTGGAGTTGAGCTTGGCCATGGTGATTTCAGGTGGGAGATTGAATCTTGCACTCTTTATAGAACCTTTTTTGTTTGAAACATAACCACCATTTATACTCAATGGTCCACTAAACTCTGACCTTTCGCTTGTTATACTTTCAGTATCCGAACTGTTCTCCAAATAAGCTCCTCTCAGCTCATTGTTCCTCATTTTTGTTCCCTTTTCTCAGTTGAAGATTCCAAGAGAAAATTAAAACAAAGCTTAAAGTGGGATTGTCATAAAAAATTTCATAGAAAACAAGGCTTTAAAATTGGTTCCTTCACCTTTAAATTGACCGAGTAAAAGTGCATAAAAGGGAAGTTGAGTTGAGAAAACAAATGAGCTTGCTTTATATACAAGCAGCTAACAGCCCGAGTCAAAAACTGAGAAACTTACAGGGAGCAATGTTAATGGGGGCTGGTCAAACCATTAATTTATTTCGGATAAAATAATCAAATAGTCCCCGGCTTTAGAGTATTATTCTTATTAAATCCCCTACGAAAAAGTTATATAAAATAATCTCCGACTGAAAAAATAATAACCCCCTCTTCTCTCTTTCTTTTGTCTTATCATTTTAGTTTTTTTCCTAAAAATATCCAAACTCATCAAATCTCAAATCAAAACCTAAACATAAGATCTCATTTCTCAATAACAATTTAATCTGGGGTTTGCGTTAAATCAACAACTAATCAGTAAGAAATTAACTGCCTACAAATCAAGCAATTATAACAAGATGATAAACCTGCAAAAAGAAAAAGAAGCTTGGGGATGTCAAATAAAAAAAAGTGTATGAAAAATAGAAAGAAAAAAAGAAACTGTTGTGAAGCAGTCTGGAGGTGTAGTTTAAAGCAGAAATTGGCGGTTCGAGCAGGCGTATGGTAAAGTTGGAGCATAGTTCGATCTTTTTCTTTAATTAAATTAGATTAAATTTAATTTGATATGAAATTAATTCTATTTATTGGCGTGAATGTTTAGCAGTGAAGAATATTGATGAAAGGTTCAAGAACTAAAATCAATTTAAAATTTGACTAAATTTATTATCATGTTAACATTATTAAGAATTATATCATCACTAGTAAATGTTTTAACTAAAAATGATTAACTTTTTTATGTTTTAAAACCGGAAATTTTAACAATAAAAATTAAAGATTATTTATATTTTATCTATTTATCTTTAAATAAACTATGTATTCAGTCACTTATATTTTTACAATTATGTTTTAATCATTCAATTATTTTTTTATAACGTTGCGTTTTAATTACCAGACATTGAAAAATTAACGTTGACGTCGACGTGCCTACATAAGGTAATATTACGTCATCATTGAAAAAATGACTATGTTAGTAATTTTATTTAATTTTTAACGACAAATTATCAAAACGAAATAAAAATATAACGTTAAGTATTATTTTTTAAAAAAAAATTGAATAATCAAAACAAACTTACGAGAATAAATGGACGACTAAATATATAGTTTACTCTTTATCTTTTTATATGAAAGTTTTCAATTTTTTTTCTTTTGTTTCGAAACAGGAAAAATCTAATTCAACGGGGAAGCTTCTGTTGGATATTGTAAAACTAATTAATAATTAAAGTAATGTAATGTAATGGGATTTACGTACAATGATGTCTATTTCCCTACAAATTTGACCCAATTTTTTGATTGAATCTTGAGTTTGAATTGATTAAGGTTGTGATGCACAAACAATTACATTACTTTATTTTTAATTGATAAAAATCTTATATTTAATACAAACTATATCGAAATATCATAAATGTCAGATATTTAAATCTCCTTCGTAATACGACATTCTTCGGGAAAAATATTATTTTTTAAAATATGATTCAAATAAAAATATTATCTTGATAACCATGTAATAAAAAAAGGATATTTTAATGGATTTAAATTTAACAAAAGAATGGTAACGGTGATAACAATTAGACTCGAATTTTTAAATCACATAGATAAATGTACTAAATTTCAAATATATAGAAAGTATAAGAACTTAAAACATATTTAAACCAATATTTTTAGTACATGTTATTTAAACCTAATAAATAATAGTTAACTTTAAATTCACTCGAATCAATCAACTTTAAAATGTTTGATCAATAATAATACAATTTTTTTTCTTTTAAAAATTTGAAACCTATTAAATAGTAATTTATTTTAAATTCACTCGAATTAATAACCTTTAAAATGTTTCAACAATAATGATATCTACAAAATTACAATTTGATCCTAAAAATTATGTTTTAAAAATCAGTGAAATTGTTACTAGTGTTTTTAGGTCAAATGCATTTGCACTTAAAAAATATTAAGGTTTGAGAAGGTAAACGTGACAAAATGTTATACTACTGAAAATTCTAAACTAGGTACCAGATCCAACGTGAAATATATTTACTGATAATGACAGTCAAAATTCTAACTAGGAACCATGAAAACTATCATTTAAATTAGATATTCTATCCATATTATAGCCTAAACAAAACTGTTCAGATGCAAAAGAAGAAGAAGAAAAAAAGGTTTTCTGTGTCTGCTGATAAGAATGGATATATTTCCTCGTACCAGTGCAAATCCGCAATGTGCTCATCGCTTTGACTTGCGATGTCGCTCTTTTCTGTACCGAGACTGATCCGGATCGAATCCACCTTCGTCAGCTCCATAGACAGCCCATGATGGAGTGGGAGCCATATAATCCTCACTGTTGAAAGGTCTTCCTGAAGCCACCTGCACCATTGGCAAAAAAAAAAGGTTTCAAACAAAAAATGTTTATGCTCCAGAGACTCTTCCAATAATGAAATTGATGCTCGTCACTAACCAGGTCATGAAACTTTTCATAGTCTATCCATGTATGCCACTGGCCATTCACAGCATGAATGTGCATGTTCACAAGCAACCTCATACTCCACTTTTCAGAGCCAATGCCTACGAGAAACCCCTCACATCAGAATGCCATGGCACATTCTCCATTGCCAACTTTGATATTGCAGAACTGTGAGAATTATCAACACAGCTAAGCAAAGGCCAGGTGGTGTTGCAAATAAAAGTAATACTACAAAGAACAGTGCAACTGATAAACTTACAATCCACAATATGTTATGCCTTTGATTTCAACAAAATCAGGCTTCCCAATGCTAAAGAGTTTAAAATAAGCGTCTACATCTTCTGCATTCCATCCTTTCACAAGTGTCAATCGGTATACAGTTCGTTGGTGTTTCTCATCGAGAGCTTTCAAGGAATCCTGAATAACAGATGTCACCAATAACTAATAAGAATATGGGAACTGCAGGCCACCGAAAGAAAAGCCCTCTAAAATGCCTGGAATTATGTAAAGTGCTACATAGTACAAGCTGCCACAAAAATGAAGCAGTTCATTCTTACAAAATCACTAACAAGTTTGGGAAATTTAACATTGCTGTTAAGTAGTCATCATTTCAGAATAATGCAAACAGAAAGCTTTTCAAATTAAGGTATCTTGAAGCAGGAGCTTTAGTTATTTTATATTATTTTTTTACTTCAGTAATATTTATTAATAATAAGACATAATGGGCAGTCAGTCAACATGTAAGATATCAGTAGGGTTCCAATCTAGGCCTAGGATTATTACTTATCTTTAAGGTTTAAATCTAGGGCTCAGATTACAACTTTATTAGTAACCCTACTACCCTAGTATAAATATGCAGTAAAATATTTACAGCCACAACTTTACCATTATCCTTGAATTATTAGAGAGAAACTAAAGGTTTCATAAAACCCTATATTTTCTTGGGTTCCATCATCTTACTCATTTTTCAGTCATAACTCTGCGGTTTTACTGCTGATTTTCACATAAACCACATCAAATCTACCAATATGTTATTCATAGCACGGTAAGGGCAGCTATATAGCTTTCAGATCAAGATTTCAATACTCCCCATGTACCCTGCTAGTCTCTAGATTCAAGAACTTTTATGCCTGGCATTTTTCTGCTTTATCTCTCTTCTCCGACAATCATTTCTATTTGTCTAAAGAAATTCAATTTTATTTCTTTCTTAATGTTTTAGCTCAATATTTAACTTTTCAAGAATAAAACACTCACAATGAATCTTTCCCAGAAGTCCCCAAAGAGTGGTCTATCAATTGCTTTCAAGCTATCCTTTGTTGCAGCATCCACACTCACATATAACTGCATGAATAGAAGACATTGGCTAGGTTAATCAAGAACAGAAGAATCTTTTGAGATCCATATTTAAGATAAATCCACACCAACAGACCTGGGTTATGGGCTTCAGCGTTTTGATTTTTTCAGGGACCTGTGCATTAGTAACTAGAAATGTAGAGATTCACCTTCGATGCAGCTCATCCACAAGCACATTAATTTCTGGATACATAATTGGTTCACCAACAAGTGATAAGGCACAGTGCTGAGGTGATAAGCCTTCCATCAATTTCTCTTGTGTAACCACTGATACAGTAGAGAGAGTAAAACCCTGAAACAGTAGAGTGATAATGCAATGAAAGATCTTTGTTGCAACTGTGTCTCTAAGAATCTAACTTGTAATACCAATAATATTCAGAGCATTGTATATGTACCAAATATTACTTGTTACTGGAATGATTAAGACACAAATAAGGTGCATTGACTGTAGCAGAACTTAGTAGAAGAAAACGTTTAACCACAGGAAACCCCTTGTGAAGGGAAAATATAATTAAAACAACTATATGATAATTACCAGGAACTCCTTTCATTTGCTTAATCATTTTTGTATGAAGTCTATGGCAGTATTGACAATTTCTAAGGGATCATCCATCTTCCACTGCCAACTCTTTCCTACCGGATTCCTATGACGCCTCCAGCAGAACACACATTTATTGGCACATGCCAAACTAGGTGTAGCCTCCATGCATCTGTCAAATTCAGAAGTGAAACAAATTTCAATCTCAGATCAATGGCTGCAACCAAGAAGCATAGGGACAAAAAAACATAGTAGAACGTACCAAGTAAATAATATAATGAGGTTTCACAGCTACAAACTACATAAAAGAATCAAACTCAATGTAGACAGAAGTACATGAGATAAACTAACAGCCAATTATAGACTAAGATGATTGTATATTTCCTGGTTTCTACCTCTTCAGTTAGTTGAGGGTGCAAAAGGAAAAATGATATTTCTGTAAGTATAAACATGACATTGGTTTCTCCTCGTCAAATAGTCATGGGTCACCAAAAAAAAAGGGGGCAAGAGATTTATGTGATGAAAAGAGTAACTAAATCTAAAAGATTAATAAATATGCAAGTAAAGGGCGGTAAAACCATATCAGTCATACAACACTGAAAATACAATAAACTACATATTCATCAAAGGCATAATAGGCGCATAAGAAAGCTCCAATCACCTATGACTCTCTATTCCATAAAATGAGTTATTGTAGCAACCTCCTCGTCCTCAAAGTTGAGACTTGGTCCATCTACAGATTTTCACACTACTGTGTGAACCAATAATCTTATATCCCTGTAAATTCCCACCAGTTAAACAATGTCAATTAGACCATAAACTTCAATGGAAGATTAAGATCAAGCAATTACCATAATGAAATGCCTTCATCAACAAAAGATTCGTATCCACTGAAACAAAGTTACCTGTTTCTCTAAGTTGGCCCTGATAACTGGAGTCACCATCTCTCTTTTCCCATCCAATTTCCCATTAGTTTCAGCCACATTAACCGATTTCTTTCCGATGGCCCTTTACCTGCTATATCTTCAAGATCAACAATGTCTTCCCCTCCTCCGCCATCATCACTTTCAAGGCTTTCAACATCACTCTCATAAACAATGTCATTGTCATTCTCCTTTTGACACCACTCTTCAAAGATGCTCTCCAATGCACCTCCATCTACGTCACCTTCCCCAACTGGCACCATCTCCGTCGCTCCCAACCCTCTTAACCTCTTTCCCAAATCCCTCGCCACCGCATTGAACGTGTCTCCATATACCCGGCTACCGACTTCAAAGACAGCAAATTTACAATCGGAGAATAACAAACTCCCGGCGCGAAAGTCAGTGCTGATTTCGGCGAGCTAATTGACGAAGAATTTCGAGTTCTGAGGAGGATTTCCATCTTCCCAGGTGGAATCAATGATAATAATTAGCGATTCCTTAGGTAGATCCTCGGGTTCATAATTTTGGGGATCGACGAGCTCAAAAGGAATGTTATTGGAGGACAAGGCTTTAAGCAAGCGTTGGGCTAGGGCTTTGGATGTTCCTGTTTGGGTAATGAAGAAAAGCTTACCTTTTCTACGGTTAGAGTCTAAAGGGAGTTGTTTGAGGGGTTTTAGGCGGCGGCGGGATTTGTAGAGGAAGTAAAAGGTGACGGCGGAGAGGAGAGCCAGAAGTGTTAGGCGTGTCGAGAGTGAGGACGGGGCCATCTTTGGGGTTTATTATTCCCTTATTTTCCGTCCGTATTTTTGGCGGGTTTTAGAGGAAGTGGGCGTCTAGAGGCGCTCGTCGTGGTGGTGAAATGGGGAAAGCTTGTTTACGAACTTGCAGAGAGACAAATATTATTGTTGATAAAATTTACAAATGAGCACTCATATTGTAAAATATTTACGTTTTAATCATTAATGTTTGAAAATTTATGATGATATTAACTATATTAATTTATCATATCACAGTTATTCAGTCGTTAAATTCCATTAAAAATATCACGATAAGTTGACGTGATATGTTAAATCATTAATATTTGTGAATTTAAGGAGTGATCCCAGTGGTATATGGTGATATATTTTCTCTGGATAACATAAGGAGGAGTAACTTAATTTTGAGTGTGCATAAATCTATCTATATTTGAAATCGAACACATATATTATCTTATAATTATATAAAATTTTAAAAAATTCATTAATATTAGTTGATATTAGCATAGAAAACTCATTAAACTATATTGAAATGATTTTTTCTATCATTGAAATTTTAAAGTTACAAAATAATCATTAACCTATCAAGTTATTATATATGTCATTTAAATTTATCAAACAAGTATAAAATGATCATTAAAACTTGTCAAAATTTTATAAAATAATCCTTAAGTTTATAAAAAAAATTATAACTTGTAATGACCATTTTGTATTAATTCAATAAGTTCAATGATCATTCTATAACTTTCAAAAATTCAGTGACCAAAAAGGACCATTTCAACATATTTTAGTGACCATTTGGGTACTTAATCCATTTTGAAAACCCTAACTAGCATTTTTTACCACTTTTATGCTCACCAAAAGAATATTTGTTTTTCTTCTGCATCCTACTTGCCAACTTCATGCAATTCTCTTCAAAAAGGGATTAAACATTTTCTAATCCTAAGGCCATTGTAAAAGACATGAATTTGGAGAATTTGCTCATACCATTAGATTTCTAGCAAAGAAACGGTACACAAATGCTGGAACAACGAAACAAACACATGAGAAATTTGAACAAAATTTACATATGGATTTTTTTACAGTTTTCCATTCTTCACCAGTTCCGAAGTACGAAAGCTTCTGCAAAATCTCCGAGCATACCATGATGCCATAAATCTACGGTTACTAAGGGGAGCCCCCATTGTCATACTACGAGGCAGTCCTTCACCCCCTGCTCAAATTTGTCGAGAGAAGTTAAGGTACTCTTGAGTGCATCTGCAACCCTTTGTCTGTGGAAAGAAAGAAATAATCCACAAATTTTAATGCTTATGCAAAAGTTGTCACTGAAAGGAGCCAACTCTGTTTTGTATTATTAGAAATGAACTCAATCTGCATGGTTTACACTGGGTTGTAAAAGCATACCTATTGGAAGCAACTTGGATATCACTTTCGTTTGCCAAACTATTAAGTGAGGTAAATGAGCTGCCAAGAAAAAAAAATAACAATAAACATTAACAGAGTAAACAAATTACGATGGCAATAAAATCGAATAGCACTCGGCAGGAAAACACATGAAGGTGTAATTCTGAATCCGACAGGCATTGGGTCTTAGGGTGACCCAAGGAAAACGAGAAAAAAAATGATTTGAAATTATCTGGATATCAATGTTCTAACAAACACCAGAAAAGCAAAACAGGCTACAATGGATACAGAGAAAGAAACTATTTTGCCAAAATATTAAGGTCAACAAGCTGTTGGAGAAATGACAATAAGCACATAAAAAAACTATGCAGCTTGACAGGAATATACATGAAGGGATAATTCTGAATCCGACAGGCATTGGTATCTTAGGGAGGCCAGAGGAAAATGAACCAAAGTGCTATAAAATAATATTGACATCGAGTTCTACCAACAAACACCCTAAAAGCAAAACATGCTGCAATGTATGCAGATAAAGAAACTCTGTCGCCATTTCCTTCAATAGTTATAGCAAATCAACAGGCAGAATTGAAACTAAAAGTTACTCGGATATTTTACATTTTTCACATTTCTACCTTATAAGCTCATCTAGCATAGCTTCGGCTTCCAGCTTAACAGGATTCTTCTTCTCAAGCAAAGAAGAAGCATTCTTCACAATCAAACGGAATGTGCAAACCTGTGGGTTATAACCAAAATTACTTGGGAATTCATTTCCACCTCTTTGATTTTGTTCCGACTTCAAATTTAGTGAATAAAAATACAAAGACGACAATATCCATGTATTGACTTTGGTGTAATAAAAAGCTTAAAAAGTACTCATTTAGAATCAATGGCTGCATAAAAAACTAAATGAAATGGCTGCATAAAAAATTTCGATTTCATTCTAAGGACAAGAACAAACCTCGACTCCGGTGTTGGCTTGAAATGCAACGAAGGAATTCCTTTCTTGTACAACACAATCCCTGGCGGCAGATTTCAAGAGCTTTTGAACTTCCTCTAAATCCTTACTCGAATTAGTTGATTCATTGTCTACCATTCACAAAAGTATCAAAATAACCAAACTTAATCAAAGTAACACAACAAACAGATTCACATAATTACAGGAGAAAAGAGAACATAAATAGAAACGTAATGTACTGAGCAAAAGATAAGCAGAGCGAAGGCTTTCTCGAGAAGCATCGATTGGAGCCAATAGAAACTTCGAAGACTTCCTCTTTTGCTCTTTAAGCCAATCCTTTGGTCCTGCTGCGAATAGCAACAAACACTCAAATAGCAGTAAATAAAAGAAGAAGAAATCAATAAACAAAATAAAGTGATGCTCACAAATTCCAATGGAGAAAGCAGAAGCTTCAGATGGTTGGAAGAGGGAAGGAAAGAGAGAGACTAAGGAGATAAAATCAACGTCTCTACGAGAGAATTGGAGTTGATTTTGAAGATGACGTTGCAGTTTCTGTCGAATCTCTTGGTTGGGGTTGACGGTGACGTTATGATTTGAAAGGGGAGAGATTGACGGGAGACCCGCGACGGTGGACATGGAGGCGCTACAGATAAGGCGGAGCACAGGTGGCGACATGAGTTCTGCAATAAGCACTTGCAAGTGAACGAACGATTTTAACGGCCTTCACAACCCATGAATGGATTAAAATTGAAAGATTTTGGCTAAAGCGTTAAAGAGCACTCCGACTATTAAAAAAAGAGTAAATTACATTAGATACCACTAAAGTTTAGGTATTATATCCTTTTTATAACTGAACTTTAAACCTCTTCAATTATAGCATTAATCTTTTCATTTTTTTAGTTTTGAAAAACCAACCACGTTGAGGGCACGTGCTTTAGAATAAAACGAGATACTACTCCAAGAACGAAGCTTTTGTAGACTGTAGATTGGGAAGTAAAACCCTAGAAAAAGATCAAAGAATAACCTAATCCCTCGACTGATCAATTAGACGATCCAATCGTTTCACATTTCGATACAGGTACAACCCTTTATATGTATTGAAAGAATCCCTAATTTTCTCTCACTATTCTCTTTGATCAATTTACGGTTGTATGTTCTTAAATGGCTCCACAATTTAATTTCTGTCTACTTATTAACATTTGATAAAATCAAATTTATTTGATATTTATACCAGGTGTATTTGATTGCAAATATTAGATATGTTTAACATTGCAAAAAAGTTCTGCAAAAGGGTAAGCGTGAAGGAGCTTGTTACCAGCGCTCCTGTGTACGGCACAATTGCGGGTATTCTTCATTGAAATAAGTTGTTTTGTATTTTTAGTATTTATTTAATTTTTTGAGCTAATTTCATGGAATTATTTCTCCTTTTTTTGGGTTAGACGAGTCTTCTTCTGGCTTAAGTTTGATGCTTAAGAGGTGGGCTAGTAAGAAGACTGCTGGATCAACAAAGAACGGAAGAGACTCGAAACCAAAGAATCTTGGGGTGAAGAAGTTCGGCGGCGAGGTCAGTGGATGATCCAGATTCAAATGCTTCCATGTTAACATTAGTAGATACGAATATGATATGATTATTGACATTATTGTGGCAGAGGGTGATTCCCGGGAACATTATAGTTCGCCAACGAGGAACCCGATTCCATCCCGGAAACTATGTCGGGATTGGGAAAGATCATACTCTCTATGCCCTCAAGGAAGGTTGTGTGAAATTCGAGACACATAAGCTTAGTGGGCGCAAATGGGTACATATTGAGCCTAAGGAAGGACATGTCCTTCACCCTCTTTATGCAACTGCTGGTCCAGGAGAGCTAAAGACGGCCACATAAGAGTTGCTCCATAGTTGTTTGTTTAAGCAATCAAGTTTGCGATTTCCATGGTGATCTTGGATATTCAACTACCAATCGTATCCGAGGATTTTGGGAGATACAAATTAAAAGAACCATGAGGTTTGCTCCCTAGTGTTTTGTTTACCACATAGTTCTTGTTTCAGTTTCTTCTTTGTTATTCATCTCTTTATAATGATTAACCTTTCAATGGAGTGGAGCTATTGAGATGCAAGTGGTTTCTGTTGCAAATTTACTGGGTTGCCCAATGTTTGAATCACTAGATTTGGAGTCCTCTATGGAAAAATACATTTTAATGTGTTTCTTGATTGCTACTAACAAAATGTAAACTTAATAATGCTGCAAGGGGACCTAACATTTTACAATTTTACACTCTACATGTTCAGAAAAGTGAGAAATTTCCAATTACAATGAAAATTTTATGCTTGCTGTAACATTTGACTGCTTTTGAGTTTTGAAAATTTGAAAGAATCTTGCTGGATACAATAGGGACTCTCGATCTTTTCTTCATGTCTTAGATTGGATCGCCTTCTGGCCAGTAGCTTCCCTTTGAAATAGCTTTAGAGCTCAAAGGGTGCACAATTAGAGAAAAACTGTTGGGATACAATGATTGAGCAGGCACTCAAAACAGTTGGGATTAACAGCTAACACTCTTTTCAGTTAGTTCTCATCTAAAGATTCGGTGTCTTGCGTTTCTGGTTCGGGGAAAACTTCATTTGACAACCTTTTATGTGACGGCGAGTGTTCAATTCCCTCACTGCAATGAGAACCTACTCTACCTGACTGCCAAAAACCACTAAAACCCTCTCTGTTTTGGTGGCCTGGAATGGTTGCACTCTCCGATGAGCTCTGTCGCCAACTACCAAAGAAGGCAGAACCCCAAGATCGCCTAGATGATGTTGTTCGTAGCCTCCCAGAGCTGAAACTCTCATCCCTTACTACTTTCGAAGGGTTTTCCAATGCTTTGAGAATATGTTTCATCGAGGGTCTTTTAGAAGGCTTCGGGTTAAGGCATGACCTTGCTACAATTGCCATGGCCCATACCTCCTCTAATAGATCTTCATCTACTATCAAAGATGGATCCATGATCTTAGTCACCAATTCCTTTTCATATATACTGATGCAAGGCAAGGTTTGCTCAAACCACTCCTTTGTAGATGAATCTTCTGCTTTACCAATACCAGGCTTGCCTGTTAGGAGCTCGAGTAACACCTTCCCGAAACAGTACACGTCATAAGCACAATTAGTCGATGAAGAGCCTGTCCATTTTCAAACACATATATATAAGAATTATTTTCTTTCCAACATGCAGCTGAAAGAAGAAAAAAAACTACTGCTGTATCTCCTTTATAATTCAGAGATAATTCGTTGTTTCATGAGCAAACTGACCAGACTTAACATGTAAATACTTTATATAGTCAAGTGAAGCAATTCAAGCAAGAACATCAATTCTAGCCCTTAGGATAAGAATGGCAAATCAATGAAGTGAATACTCACAGATTAGTAACCTACTGCTATTAAGCTTAACATGTTAACCAACGGTAACATATAGAAATTAAAGATGTTAACAACCATGTGATCGAATTTTACGCACCTGAACCCGAATTGCCAGAATCGGAGGTCCTACACGACACAGAAAGAAAAATTATACTATAACGGGAAAGATGTATACAATTAACAGAAAATGGAACTTTACAAACACATTATCAATGAATGGTTCCAATAATCTACAAACATGTGTTAAACCCTTTTCATCCAATCTATTTCATTACTCCAATGACCTTGGAAAGAATTTAAGTTTAGCATATAGTTTACAAAATTTACGTATAAGAACATTCGCAATATCAATGTATCTCAATTCTACTTGATTTTAATTCACCAAGTCATATCCCTTCATTCAAATTAACTATGTTGAAAGTAGTTTGCATAGCAATATGATACCGAACGCTTTCGTTGTAAGACAAAAGGCCAAGCAACCAATTTACTACAAGTGACTTATAAAATACTTACTGTGGTTTCCAGAGCAATCGTCTGAGAACATTTTGGTGTGTATCTCCTTCCTGGACACGAACTTCACTCAAGCTTCCGAGTCTCACTTCGAATTTATCATCAAGAAGAATACTGCTTGCTTGAATATCACTTCAACCCCCAAAAGAAACATAGCAAACAAGTGAGGCTATTGAAAAGGAAATCATAAAGGTTGTGAAAAGCTACACAAACAATATGAACAACTTAAAATGGAGAAAAAGGCAACATGAGTAGCTCCAGTAGCAGAAAGCATTGATTATTAACTATCATTACACTGAAAAGAGAATAAAAGTAGTGAAAAGCATGTTCCGGTATACCTGTGAACAAGGGAAGGGTTACATTCATGGTGCAAGTGGAATAGGCCTTCAGCAGCTCCAGTAGCTATTTTTAACCTTGTAATCCAATCCAGTGATTGTAAGGTATCATCATCCGAATCGGTAGCCCTGTAAAAGGAATTGGCTAAATCTCCATTCGGCATATATTTGTATACCAAAAGCTTGTCAGTTTCATGTTCCAAGCAGCGCCCCAAGAGCGGAACAAATCTGGGGTGAGAAAGCTTTCTAAATAAATCCAATTCCATCATGTAAGATTCTTTCTTGAAAGAACTCAAATTGGCCCTTTTGATGACCACTTGGACTCCACCTTCCAAGATGCCGCGAAATAGGTCGCCTGAGTGACCTTGCTTAATAAGATTCGTCTCGTGAAAATTATTAGTTGCCAGGAGCAATTGCTCATATGTAAATGGATCTCCAGAACCAGCTAAGTTTGTAGCATCTTTTGGAAGTTGAGGATTATCTCCTTCTGGAACAGGCCCAATATCCGCACTCCCACTTTGATTTCCGATGCCTTTATTACGTCTCAAGATGCGTACAATCACCAGAACCAAAATTACAATGAAACCAAGTCCGCTGATTACTCCAGCCAAGATGAATATCAATCTCTTCCTGCTCTTTGAACTAGATTCTGGAGGAGGTGGTGTTGCTCGGTCCGGTGCTCCAAAATTATCAAAACTTAGACCTCTTTCACTGTAAAACAGTCTACAGTCCTCCAAACTCCTTTGTTTCACAGCCTGAAGGCAATTGTTGTCGACACTAGCATTCCTTTCGATGCCATGAACACCATTACCTTGAAAATAGTTGCTAGAGAGATCAATGAACTTGAACATCCCAAGTGAAAAATTCAAAGCTCCATAAAAGAAATTGTTCGACAGATTGTACACGGCAGCCGAGGCAACACTAGAATTAGAATGGAGGACCGTAAAAGGACCTGTAAATTTGTTGCTTGATACATCAAGGGACTGTAACTTAGGCATTGACCAAATTGCACCACTAAGATCACCATAAAGCTTATTCCTATTCAAATCCACAACTTGCAACTCAACAAGATTTGACAACAAATCAATCGGCAGATGTCCCTCGAGCTCATTACCCTCCATTATCATCTTCCTTAATCTCCTTAACATCTTTAATTCCTCAGGCATCGAACCATACAAAGAATTCTTACTAAGATCAAGCTCAACCAACCTTGAAAGATTACCAAACTGAATAGGAATTGAACCAGAAAGATTATTATCTGAAACATTAAAAACTTGAAGACCTTGTAAAGAGCCTAAACTAGGTGGAATTGACCCAGATAAGTAATTCGAAGCAAGTTGAAGACTTTCAATGTTTCCTAAAGACCTAAAGCTTGAAGGAATTGAACCAGTGAGCGAATTAATAGAAAGATCAAGAATTTTCAATTTCCTTAACTGTCCCAATGTAGCAGGAATTGAACCAGCAAGATTACATGACCGGAGATCAAGAACCTCGAGATTAGCCAACCGGCTTCCGAACCAATCCGGTATTGGCCCGGGAAGTGGGAACCCGGAAGCATTAAAGGAAACTAACCGAGTCAAATTAACCAAAGAATCAACACTGAATTTGGGATTGAGCCGTCCAACTCTGGTTCTTCTTAAACCGGAAACAGTGATGTTCAAGACGGAGTGGTTTCGACATTCGACACCGAGCCACGACGAGCAAGGGTCGGCCTTGATGGGCCAATCTCTGCCTCGGAGACCTAGAGATGCGCGGAGATCCAGCATTGCCCGCCGTTCGATTGGAGAACTTAGCCGAACTTTCTGAGCTACCGCGCACTGGATCAAGAACAAGATTACAGCTAACAAGAAGATTGATACCGCACTTCTTTGAGCTTCCATTGATAATGTGAAGCTGATTTTGATGGACTTCAATGAAGGCCAAGTCTCTGACTCATCTTCTTCCTAAAAAAAAAAAAATATTTACAATAATATAAAAAGTACAACGAAAAAAATCTGTTAGTTTTTTATGTTTGACCATTACCATTACAATCAAAGAGCTCTCTCTCTTTCACTAATCTGTACACTTTAACGTTCATAAAACAAAGTTCATTTATTTATTTATTTGTAAAAAATAATAATATTTTTTCTTGGTCTTCGTAAATTCTTACCACAAATCACGAGCTTTGATTCTGCATTCGACGTTGCTCCTTGGTTACCGCCGATCCGGAATTTATTAATATTTTAAACCGATAAAAGAAAATTGAACTCAACCTCATGTATGGAATGGAATCCAAATGAACACCAAACAAAACAACAACAACAACAAAACGCAAGATTTACGACGCTAATATTGCGATTTAAGCTTCAAACCCAAAAAGAATTCCTGTTTGTTTCCAGAGAAAAAATGGAAACGACTGATGGCACGGGGCTTTAAGGGAAGGAGGGGACAAGTGACATTAATGAGATGAAAGAAGAAAAATAGGGAAAGTGTTCGTTTGCCCAACCGCCGGGCTTTTCTGTCAATACTGTGTTACTTTTCCATCCACCGGAGCTATTCACTAAACCTCTGCCATTTCATCGAACTCGAAAGATTCTAAATCTTTCAACTCAGTTATCATTATTGCTACTGACTCAGTGGAGCCATGGATTTGAAACCCAGAGCCTCTTCAATGGTGATAATGCTGGTTCAATGACTTGGAAACTATTTAAAAACAGGTTCAGTCTTGAACGTGAAAACCCACGCTATTATAAACAAACAAATTTGGAATATATGAACAAAATAATAATATTAATAATAATAAAAGTGAATCCTTTCGTTTTCGCATCATAATCAATCAAAAATAAAGTGGTTTGAGTAGCAAATAGAGGGGGGGATAAGGACAAGTCTTCTTGATCGTGTATTGATCACCATTTACCTGATGTTCTTTTCTTCTAAATGGAATTTATGCATTATTAATGGTCTAATTTCATCAACTATTCTTAATTTTCGGATTTGCATCATTGGAAGTGTATTTTGGTTCATACACTTTTAAAATATCAATAAAAATGTTTAGGATATTAGAAAATTTAGTAAAATTAGTATATCGTTACAAAATTGTTTATTTTAAGGTATATTTTTGTTATCAATATAGAGTGATTATAAAGTAATATATGTTCAAAATACTCTCAAATATTTGATAACAAAAGCTCAAACACTCTTACAGACATGGTGTTTGAATTCGAGACCTCTAAGGATAATAATCATCTATTAACCACTAAAGTCGTTTAGTTCATACTTAAAGTATAGTTAATTAAACGATATAGTATTAATTTAAAGAGTAAATTACTAATTTGATTACTCAACTATTATTTTTTTCACTTTGGTTACTGAATGGTGTTTTTAAAATCATTATTAACATTTAATTTTCTTATTTTTGTCAATGACCGTTTAGATTTTTTTAAAATTAACAGATATAGTAGCATATCATGATACAATAATAGTTTCAATCCCTAAAATTTATATATTCTATTAGTTTGGTCATATTTCGAAATAATTTAATAAAATCAACTTTTAATATTTAAAAGGCATAATTAAAAAAAATCTCTTACGTTTAACTAAATAGTCACTTTGACTCATATTCCTTCTTTTGTAGCATTTAGGTCTAAATGTTTCATTTTGGGGCAAAAAGGTCCTTCCGTGAATGAAAATTGTTAATCAACAAACAATTAACGCTCCAAAATACGAGCATTTTTGCCCTAAAACAAAATATTATGGGCTAAAATGTTTAAAAAAGAAGAAGAAGAATAACTAAATGACTATTTAGTCAAATGTTTTAGACTTTTTATCCTAAAATAAAACATTCGAAGTTAAAATACTTGGAAAAAATATGAACTAAAATAACTATTTAGTTAAACGTTAAGGACATTCCATTTAATGTTATACCTATTTAAAATAAATAAATTTATCGTAAACCCAAGCCTTGATGCCGTCGGCTTCAACCATGGCGTGATGTTATCTTAGTCGCCTCTTTTGATCAATGTAAAAAATAAATAAATTTATCGTGTTTACAAAGTTGAAGCCAAAAAAAACACAAAGGAAGTTAACATAGTACCACCTGCAAAATGAAAAGTTGAGAAGCAACTTTCGATTCCGTCTTCATCCCTGAATTTTTGTGCAGCCCTAAATACTGAAGCAACATTTAGTTTATTGCAGCATCGTTTCAGGACTCTTGTTATTATGGCTCCACAATATTCATTGACCTTTCCTCAGTTGCCTCCGTCCACTGTCCACTTCGTGTTTACTCATCCATCGGCCCCTACCCTTCCTTCAACTCTCTCACATCTCTTTGTTCTTCCCGTTCTGTTATCGGTATAGAAATTTTATGGAAGTTCTCATTTTTCGTTAATAAACTTTTATAACATAATTTGATTTTTGTTTATTATTTTCTGTCACTGTCACATTTCCTTAAATAAAATCATTAAGGTGAGTTTTGGTTTGTTGTTATGCAACTTGAATGGCTACATATCCATTTGCCAAGGTGATCGATGGGAAAGCAATGGTAAAGCAAATAAGAGAAGAAAGATAAGTGTTGAAGTATCAAAACCGTAGGAAACAACTAGATTTGTTCAATGATTAGCAGTTATTCTAGTTGGGATACGAAGGATTATGTTACTTACGTGCGAATCAAGAAGAAAGCTTGTGAATTTATAGGGATTAATTCCTTTTAAGTGCATTTTATTTGATGATGCTTTTGAGGAATAAATTTTCGTTAACCGGAGAAGGTGTCAAAGACAACACCGGACAATAACCTAAGACGGCGGTAATAGCAAGGCTAGAGTTTCGGTTAGAGAATGATTAAACTATTAGAATTTTTAAAAATGGAGGGTTAAATTTATTGAATTAATTTAAATTATATTTCTTTGATGTATATCAACATTTACTCTTCATTTCGGTGACTATTCAACTTGAAAATTAAATTAAAAATATAATTTTATTGACTAAAAATTTATTTTATAAGTATATTTTAAATTGAATTATTAATTCATAATTTTAATTCAATTATATTAGTTCTAGTTAATTTAATTTTAAACTATAATATATAAAAATTAAGTTTGAGAAGACAGTTACAATATGATTGAACGAAAGTTTGAAAAACTAAATTCAATCATTTTTTTACTTAATATCAAACAATTAATGAAGTTTTTTATATCCTCAAAAAATTTTAAATCTTAATTTTACTCTTTATTAAATAATTTAAATGATTATAAAATAAAATTTATTTAAAAATATTTGAACTTATTAATAATGAACTTATCTTATAAAGGCAGTTGATCAAATATAAATCTTTTAAAATTTTATTATTATTATGACCACTAAATGAATTGGGCTAGTTTTGTTTTGTTTTTTTTATCAACAGAAGCTTAAGTAAGCATGAAGCAAACATGGGCGAGTAAACGATAAAGTTATTTTTTCTTTGAATGGTCAAACGTCTGATTTAAACGCACCTCTCATATAATAATAACCCGACGAAAGTAATAACGACGGATATTATAGCGACACAAATGTAAAGCTAAAATACGAAAATAGTGGTTGACGTGCCAATTTCCAACGCTGGTTCCAAACGTGGACCCCAACAGCCAACGCGTTTTCATATCAATTTCCATGCCCCTTTATCGATTCGCAAGTAACATCACTTTTTTAAAAGTCCAACATTAACATTAATTACTTGTTAAACACTACTAATTATCATTCTATTATTTGTTTATAATAGGATTTAGATTTGAAATATATTATTCAAAAACACTTAACATTAATTATTTGTTGAACATTACTAATTATCATTCTATTTACAATTTTACACGTGAATTGAATTTTATATAATTTATATACGAATCTAAATTTGCGAGTAAAAGATCTAAAATAAAAGGTCTTCATTTTAATGAATAATATTTAAAATGTATTGTTTTAATAAATACTATTTTGCAAATTGAATGTTTCAATGAAAAACCATATATATATATATTATGTTTTGGGGTTTTTTCTGTGATGTATAATTATATTTTTAAATATATAATGTTAATTATGTTTAACTTTTGAGTATATATATATATATATTAAATGAATCATAATTATGTCATGTTTGAAATGATCTTCGTAAATTTTAATACTTTTCTTAAAAATGTTATTATGTTTTGAGAGTAACTTGCGTTTATCTGAATTTTAACAAACAATAAATAGAAAATAAAAAAATCAAAGAAAATGACGTGTCAGTATACTAACAATTTTGCTAAATCATGGTAGTGTTGATGTGCCATTGTGTGAAAAGATTGTAGTGGCCCGCCACGAAGCTGACAGCATATTGACTGGGTCTCTTTTAAATTTTTAATAACAGATAATCTCAAGGTGCGTTTGGTTTACGGAATGTAAGATTATCAGTGAGAATTAAAGATTACCAGGAAATAGGATTACTGGGAATGTTGTATTTTGTGTTTGGTTGGTTTAGTAAGAATGTAAGATTACCGTGTTTGGTTAAAGGAATAAAAGATTATTGGAATGTATATTTAACCAAATTATCCTTATTATATATTTGTATAATATTACAAATTGTAAAATATTTATATATTTTCTTTAAAAAATTAAATTCATAATATTTATATATTTTCTTTAAAAAATTAAATTCATAATATTTATATAATTTTTTTTATAAAATTAAAAATATAAAAAAAAGTTTAATGAAAGGGTAAAAAAAAATTTAACCATTGAACTTCATATAAAATTTTAATTATAGATTTTTTTTGTAAATCTAAAATAATTTAAAAATAAATTTGTAATTTAACTTTCGTAGAATTTTATTATTCAATGACAGAAGAATGATATTTTTGAAAAAAAATAATAATTTAAGGGTATTTTAGTCCAAAACGCCGGTAATATTACAATACCTAAGAGAAGGGAGGTAATGACATTCCCAGTAATATACACCAAAAAATCTACAATTGGTAATAAAACATTACCGGGAATGAGATTCCCGACCAACTAAACCAAACATGGGAATATGGGATTCCCAACTCATGGGAATCCCACAATCCTTGAACCAAACACCCCCCAAGTATATTATTATTGGGGCATGGTATGATATAAATCGTGGATTATTTGAGATTGATTCTATTAAATAAATGTTTGATAAATATTTTATTTTAATAGATTTAATTCAAGCTCAAGATCATCTTGAGATCTTAATGGGTTAAAAGAAAAATATTTAATATTCGATTCGAAAAGTTTGTGAACAATTTGAAAAAATAATATATTAATTTAAAAAAATTTACATTATTAATAATATTAATATTTATGTGTTGATTTTTTTTTAAATGTAATATAAGGTTTTCATGTACATAAGGTTCGAATTCGAGTTTGAGCTTTAATTGAGTTAAGTTTAATATTTTTTATTTCATTATTTAATTCACAGTTTCGAGTTTGAAAATTTTAGGCTCACGAGTTTTCAAACCGAGTCAAATTCTATTTTATAGTTTTCAAATCAATTCGAGCTCAGTAATACTCGACTCGTTACAGCCCTAACCATTATGTATTTAAGTTATTCTCTATTATTCAGAATAAAGGCTTCTCATGACAAATTATGCAAGAAAATAGATTCCAACAATATGTTGTTAGGGATAGTCATACATTTAGTTAGATTTTGATTTATCTGAATTTAGTTTATGTATAATATATTTTTATTTCTCATTCGATTCAATTTAGATTTAAAAAGGGTTTTATCTAGAATTCAACTCAAATTTTTAAATAAAAATAAAAATTTATTTAAAATAATATACCAAGAGATTGGTACTATAACAATTATACCTTAAGTATAAAAATTAATTATATTATTATTCTCGCATCATGTGTTAGTGTTCGATTGAATTTTTTTTCTCTTAAATTTGAATTTGAACGGATCAAAATCTGATCAAATATCCATTGGAGTGCTTATTTTTTCATCAAATCTCTTCATTTTATAGTATCAATGCTTGCGTCATTATTAGACAATGATACATTGCAATAGTTTGAGAACGATCAAGACGAATTCAAAATCTGAAACACAACGTATATGAAGGTTAAGAATAACTACAGCAGCGCAGTTTTTGAACATTCGGAGACAATTGGACTCTGTATCCCCTAATCTTCCACCTCCTCGGCTATATATATCATCGTTTGGATGAATCCTGATGTCTGAATTGAAACAGTATCGGCAAATCACCACTAAAATCACAAAACTCCAATGCAAGATGCTCAATTTGTACGAAATAAATGGCAAACAACTCTTTCCCTGTAAAACACTTCAGAGAAAAACATACCATGAAGATTAGATTCGTCTATGCCAATCTATGTCAATCCGACTTTTCATTTTTCTCCAAGTACATGCGTGCAGCATTCTTGTCTAACATAGTTTCAGACATGGAAGAAAACTTGTTTCTCCCAGCAGAACAAGAACTTGTGTTGGTTCCCAGAATGATTGCCCATGGCAGTGACAATCTCAACGACCCCATCCATGCAAATCAACAGCGTTGAACAAAAAGGGAAAGACGTTGTCATGGGAACTCTGACCTATTGCATCATCAGACAGTATTTTCACCGCTTTCCTCGTCTCAAAACTGTAAGCAGCAATGATTCGAGGCAGCTGAAAATACAAAATCTGCAAATCATCATTAAAAGCACAAGGCTTGACAGAAACAGGCGAGATCAAAAACACCACATCATCGGGGTAGTAGTTTCTCGACACCAATTCATCCATTCGAATGTAGTTCTTGAGCCGCCACTTCAATCCGAAATCATTTCTGTTATCAATTTCAATGCGTTCCCATATATAGAATCCCACATAAGTCGAATCACAATAGTGAAGATGATCTTCGGATTCCCACAAACGCTTCCCGCAATACAAAGACGTTAAACGAAGCTTCGTCTTCGGTAACTCCATAAGCTCGAAAGATAGTTTATTTTCATTGAAAACCAGCAAACAAAGGCTCCAAATCCAATACATTCGTCCCTTACAGTAAAGACTCGGGCAATACCATTCTTCTCTGTTGAAATCTTTGCTAAGACATAAAGCCGAATTGTGTATTTTTCCATTATATTCCCTCCATTGCCAAGATTGTGAAGAGAAAATCTGATACTTGAGCGTCCCGTTCTTGATATCGGCATCTTCCCAGAACTGGCATATAACGTCAAAGTGTTGTCGAACCCCGTCAAAGGCTAGACTTGCAGAAACTGGGACCGATGAACCATGGCCAGGAGGAGGGAGTTTCAGCCATTGATTTCTGACGGGACTGGAAACAAGATAGGTTAAAGAAATACCTTTCTTTGTACCGAACAGAAGCAAACCGTTGCAAGAATCAATCAACCAAGGAAGTTCATGCGTGAGAGAAGTGTGTACAAAGCAGCTCAAGCTTTGGTCTTGAACGACTTCAAGCAAATTCAGCTGGTAAATCGGGTTAATTGATGAAGGTTTCTTGAATGAGAAAACGAGACCGGAGGCGGTGGTGGGAGGTTGTATGTGGCGGAGATCGGTGATCAAAGCGTTCCAAACTCTTGATACGCATTTGAATCTTGTGCGTGGTTTCAAGGGAAGTTTACTGAGGATTAGTTCAAGAATATCCTGGCTTGAAACTTGGTTGTTTTCCATCTCCATGGCTCTTTTTTTGCCTGGAAAGCTTAACATGCTGAAAACTGGAGAAAGAAGGCTCGTAGACGATGATGGGTTTGCTGAAATTTACAAAACCCTAGCGAGGTTTTAAAAATGGAAACACCTTAAACCCTTTCGGCAGGGACAACTAAAGAAATGATATTCAAGGAAAAAATAGTGAAGATATGGAATATATTTGTGTATAAAATGTGATAAAGATCGGAAAAACAGGGGAGTGTTGCTGGCCGGCTAGCCCAATTTTACTGGGAGTTTAATCTAAAACTTTGTCCCCAAGGCCAATCACTGGGCCGAACCTAAAGCATATTGCATACCCTAAAAATAAGGCTGAATAATCCATTTGACCCTCAAACTTTTTCAGTTTAGTCCTTTTAACCCTTAAACGTTTTTTGTATCTTTTTTGGCCCTCAAACTTTTATCTCTTGTTAAATTGACCCAAACTTAACGTAATAATAATGAACTGTTGTGCTGACATCAACTATTTTATCATTATAAAAATGTTGACATCAATAATTTTATTACTTTTTGCCATATCATGGAAAAGGTTAAAAAATTGTAAAAATTAATTGACGTCACTAATTCAATACAAATAAAATATACACGTTGATGAACTCTAAACAAACACTAAACAAATATGTTCGTGAACGTTAAACGAACATGTTCGTGAACATATAAACAAATATGTTCGCAAACATAAAATTGAACATGTTTGCGAACACTAAACGAACATATTTGTGAACAATAAATAAATGAACATCTTCAAAAATAAATAAAAAGAACACGAACACAATATTAAAAATTTAAATGAACACGAACCGAACATTAACACATTTAAAAATAAATAAATGAACACAAATATAACATTGTTTGTTCAAGCTTGGTTCATTTACACACTTAATGATAGAGCCACCATCATTTATTTTATTTTTATTTTATAAATTTTATATGAAAAGTATTAAAAATAAATGTGACATCACTTAAAAAAATATTATCACTGTATTAAAAAATTGACATCCCTCAAAGAAAATAATTTTCCACCGTTAATCTTTACTAACTAAAATTTTATAATATTTATTAAATTCTTATATCGTTATATGAATTTTTAATTTCGTTTTTATTATCGATAATTTTAATTATAATTTAAATAAAAAATACTTTAATAAATTCTTAGTTGAATTATTATTTAATTAATTTATGAAATTACAATTTAGCAAAGCTTTAGTAACTAATACAGACTTAAGATTTATAGAAATGAATAGAGTTGTGGATGGTGACAAGAGAAGACGTAGAAATAGAAAGGAAGTGATTGAACTGGGAAATGGATGACACGAAAGATGAAGCAAATGGGAAAATTTTCAGAGTGATAAAGCAGGTGAAGGTGATAAAACAAAAACATGATAAAAGTCGTGGCCAGAGATTCTTTCCTTTGGAAGTTTCAAATAAACCATTGGTTGAAGCAGAAGCAGTATTACTGCACACACCACCCATACACATAAAACCATATATATGAACAGTGTTGAAGCAAGTCGCAGAGCAAGAAAAACAATGTGAAAAAGGCCACACAGATGAAAGCCATCGATTGCATCAGGGAAAGTCAAAGACATTGCTTGATGGCAAGCGTGGTTGTTGTTGCCAGAGAGTTTTGCAGAAAAATGGCGCACATTGAGTTCTTTGATTATATATATGCTATACTCTGAGCAACAAGTCAACAAATCTTACTGTGGATCCATTTTAACTTGTTTTTCACCCTTGTAATGGAATGGTTATTAGTTTGTGGAAACCTGGTTTATTAACAAAAGTTTAGGGTTTTCGGGGAATGATTATGGAGGAAGCAAAGGAATGTTGCTCAGAGGGAGTCACTGTACTTTTTTACTATCTGTTTGGTCATCTTAGGGAGGGAGCTCAAGTGCCTACATTTTTATAATATTTTTTATTGTTTAAAAAATGCTCTTTATTTTATGAATTTAAAATTTAACCAAACCCTTATTTTTTAAATTAATCCTTAAGATTTAATACTGTTAAGGTGCTTATTCTCATTTTAATACGTACTGATTTTGTCAATGAAGCTTGATCTGAAATACAGAAACGATCTAATAATTTAATTTATTTAAACACGGATACCCGAATTGTTCGGGTTTGTAATGGGTTAAAGGGCAATAATGAAGAGTAAGAGTGGGACCCGAATGTGGCAGGGCGTGGGAGAGGGATGAACATGACGTTGTCGGTTGTTTTGTACAGATAAACTCCTTTAATCTCATCAGAATCTTCCCCTTTCTGTTTTCTTTTAGTCACAAAACCCACACACTCTCTCTTCTTGTCTCTAAAGATTAGATATTTTTTATCTTACCCTCGGCTTCACCACAAGCAACCAAGCTGTCGCTTGTTGGGAGCGCACTGAAGCAAACCCAGATCCTTAACCCTAAAACTCAAACCCTGATCCCATCTACTCTATTTCTTGCTCCTTAATTACATCTTGTCTTAAAGGCTCAAAAAGCTTGTGGCCAGTTGCAGTTTCCTGCTGTTTTTCTGGTCATCTCTTTCTCTCTCTCTCTATCTGACATTGGTCCCCTTTTTACTTTAATGTCTTTTGTTTTGTTTTTCTTTGAAGATGTTGATTTTATTTTCTCTCTCTCTCAGCTTACAGATGTTGTAACGGTTCAAATTAGCGGTATGGGCCGATGGATTTTGGCTGAATAATGCAGAATAACGGGAGAAATATAGGGGGGAAAGGAAAAGAACAAGGTTATCTAGATAAGCTTCTTGCATCATCGTCATCTCTTTTGAAGAAACGTTTCAAAGTTTTGGATGAATAGTTGAATAGCGAGCTTTCATTTTTAGCTTTTCTTTTTTGGGTGGACTGTATATTTCTTGAATTATGGAAGTGAGAGGTGAAGAAGACGATATTAAGACGCCGGTTCGAGATGGGAACCATAACGGTGCTGCTGTTCTTACTTGCACTCAAACCCTAGACCATGTTCATGGTCCGCAGAGGCAACAACAATCGTTCGGCCATACCGGAAGATCTCCAGTGTCGCCCGGCGTTGTCAGGTATCGAGAGTGTCTCAAGAACCACGCTGCCAGCATCGGCGGGAACGTTTACGACGGGTGCGGCGAGTTCATGCCTAGCGGAGAAGAAGGAACGCTCGAAGCGTTGAAATGCGCCGCCTGCGACTGCCACCGCAACTTCCACCTCAAAGAGGTAGATGGCGAGACCCAACAATTTGGCGGCAATCATCCCGGTCGAAGAAGCTTGATGCTTAATCCTCTTCAGTTGCCTCCACCTTTGCCATCTCCAACCATGCTGCATCACCATCACCATCAAAAGTACTCGGTTCACACAAGTCCACACAGTGCAATGATTGCACCGATGAACGTAGCGTTCGGCGGAGGGGGTACCGAGTCTTCGAGTGAGGATCTCAACATTTACCAGTCGAATCCCGAGGGAATGCCGTCGGCTCCCTCTTATGTTTTGTCTAAGAAGAGATACAGAACTAAATTCACGCAGGAACAGAAGGATAAGATGTTGGAATTAGCCGAGAAAATGGGCTGGAGAATCAACAAAAAAGACGAAGACGAGGTCGAGAAGTTTTGCGCCGAGCACGGCGTAAAAAGGCAGGTTTTCAAGGTCTGGATGCATAACAACAAGAACGTGAAGAAGCCGCCCCAGGATCAGTAACATATCTTCTTCATAATGCCATATGGAGTATATATGTATACAAGGGGCCAGCCTAGAAGATTAAAACCACAAGGTTGAATTATTTGTATAATTCTTCACTGTAAAAGCCTTGTGGCTAATTCAGCACTTGTATTAGTAATTGTGTTCTTCTTTAAATTATAAAGCTAGTCTCTTTCTCATCATTTCATCTGTGCCAGTGCCGCCCATTGTTTCTGAAAATTATACTATTAAATTGTGACTGGAACTTAGTATTACGATGTATTGTAATAACTTTTAATGTTAACGTGACATCATAATATATAATTATATCTGTAATTTAAAAATATAATACGTCGTAACATTCACTACTCTGATATTATATAATAGTGATATTATATCTATAATTATAATCGCAACCGTAATTCTGGAAAAGGAAATATGAAAATGGGGCAAATGCCACCAAATGGGTGTTTCGTTCTTGACAATATTTAATGGTGATTGGTGTAACTTGGTGAGTTCATTTCATGCAGGCTGTTGTTCCATTGTATCAGGTGGGTTCTATTAACGTCTTTAGCTAATTATACCGTACACATTAACCTCTAAGGTAATGTCCATTCGGTTTTTCACTCATACCTTCTCAGGAAATTGTGACCCAACTCATGAATTCATTATAAAAGTAAAAAATAAATTACAATGAATTTAATTATTAAAGCATAGTATAAAGGTCAATACCATAATTTCATTTTGACTAAAATAAACATCTAAATTTACTAACAGGATTTTGGAACGTTGAAATTCAATTCATGACTCAAAACAAAGAAAAAGGTGTAATTACCATAGGGTGTAATTCAATTCATGACTCAAAAACAAAGGTGTAATTACCACAAAAGAGAATATATTAGTTTGATAATCCATGGCCATGGTGCATTAAAAATTAAAATAAGAAAAAAAAAACCACAACAGATAATATTACTATTTAAGTAATTACAAGAAAATAACATTAATTCTATTTTAATTACTAATTTGAATCGTATGAAAGATCCAAAGAAACAGTAGACCAATCGAAAAACCGAATAAAATGGTAGTGATTCTTCGGTCTAATTTATTTCATTAATCTGTTTTGGATAATTTGTAACGTATATAATAAATCTCGTCTGCAGCGACGGTTCCGACTTAAACTTACGCCGCGGGTGAGGGAGTCGGTGCCGATCCAGATGGTGATGATGAAGAGAACATACTGCCAATAGCGCTGAACGTTGTGGCACGTCACAAATTAGTCATACATATTGTATACATTAAGCACAAAAATAAAATAAAAAATTTTGACAAATGCGTTTATAAATGATTAGAACTAAGATAATGTTGGTTTCCATGGCTTTTCTCACCTGAACTTCTTTTTGACCCAGTCGGTCCATGAAGAATTATCCTTATTTTTCGTAGATGGCGCCTCAGCAGCTGGTCCGGCGGCTCCCTTAGCATCTGCTGCAATTGTTGCTGGTGAAGATGAAACTGCTGCAGCGTCGCCGACAACAGATTTGATTGAAAGAATCATGATGATCGAGATCAATACAATAACCAATGCAATTTTTGCCATTTTGTTTTATTTTCCTTTGGTTTTGGTAAAATATGAGTAAAGAAAAATAATAAACTGATTTATTTGTTTTATTCAGTAAAATGTGATTGAAGAACTGAAGATTGAAATTACGATCAACTTATAACTACTTGGAGGAGCAATTTACGGTAAGTTCATACCTAGGTGTCTGGTTAAGTTATTAATAATCGAACACGAGTTAAACTGTAAGATGATTTCGGGAAGATTTATAAAGCATAAAACTGATTATTTAAAGCCCTAAGTCGTATATAAATTTTATTTAATGCCTTAAATTACATAATCATTTTCCCCCTATTTTCGTTTTATGTAACAAATTAAAAAAATATAAGTATTATATATATACTTAAAAGGGAAATCAAATTAAACAATTAATTTATACACCCGTTTTAATTTTTTAATCAGTATAAATATTTCATTATTAAAATAATTAATTGTGTACTAAATTTATAATGTATTAATAAAAATATCATTTTAATTTTCATTAATTTTATATTATAAATTCAATTCTAAATAACTATTTTCCCTCTATTATCATATATATATATATATATATATATATTTCATTTATATAAATATAAAACATTTAATACGTTTGATAAAAATGAGGAATTCAAAAGTTAGGGGTTTCAGTGCTATTTTTTTCTTTGTGCCGCACTTAGTTTCTTTTTTTCTTTATCTTTCTCATAGACAACAACACTAGCCTTCGTATTGATAGTTGACCGCGGATGTTCATTGGTTTTATTTTATTTTATTATATAATATTTTTACGTTTTTTAATAACTCTGTCTTTATAGATCGTTTTTTATCGTTTGATCGTTATTTCATTTATCATTTTCTCAGGGTTGGATTTGACATCGTTGCGACTGATCAAGACGTCATTTATTTGTTGTCATGATGATTTTCTCTGTTTTGGACCCTTAGATTGGATTTGGATATACTATTTACGTTCGTGTATAATTTTCTCACATCGCTCGATTCTGATTTAGTTTATCGGTGATCTTTCAATAGCTTGATCCATTTTTGTGGTTCGTTTGTTGATGCAGTCAAATCTATTCGTATCTATCTTTTATTCGAGTTTATGTGATTAGTTTTTTTAAACCATTTCTTTGTATGTTTTTTGTGTGATACTAAGGGGCTAGTTAATAAAACTAGTCGCTTCTATCTTGTTAAAAAAAAGATTTAGGACGTTAGATAAGTGGAAATAGACTGTTGAAATTAACAATAAGAAATTAAAAGATATTCATTAAAAAATTATGAAGAGTTAATCCCAATCGTCAATTTTCACTCATCAAACTATCTCAAATCTATATAAAATTTTAAAAAATTTACATTACATAATTTTAACTTTTAACCCTATTATATAATTTTTATGAAACAACCTATTATATACCTTCACTATTAATAAAAGATGAAAGATATAATATAAAAAACCAATTTTCAGATAGTGTAAGAGGAACCCTTCATTTCTAAAACACTTCAAAACCTTAAATTTTATATTCCATGGATTTTAGAAAACAATATATTTTAATGGGTTCTCACCATATTCAACGATTGGATTTTGGGTGCTAACAAACTTTAGGTTTTACGTTTTCTTGCGTTTGTGGGTTGATTTTTTTTCTCTGATTGAAAAGTTATATATAAAAGAAATAAAACTTGAGTTTATTATATATAAACTGTGAGCATAATTTGACTTTTAAATATATATAAATATAATGTTAGTATTAATAATGCACAATGGTGATGTAGCTCAGATGGTAGAACGCTCGTTTAGCACGTGAGAGGTACGGGGATCGATGACCCGCTTCTCCAAAATTTTCTCCCGCGTTTTCCATTTGCCTTAAAACAGTATTTTGCTTCCAAGTTATATATTCTTTAGGTATTTTAGTCTCTTTCATTCCCTCGTAAAATCAAAATCAGTATATTCTTGTTTCCCCCTTTTCCCAAATCCCTACTTTTGTTAAATTCAAACTCAGATTTTCAATTAATTACTTGAATTGATTGAGTTCTCCCTTCATATCCAGTGTGAAATTTTGAGGGCTCGATTTCAAATAGGTCAGCTTCTTTTTCATTACTGTCATTTGATTTTGATAACAACAAAAATGCGTTCTATTCTTTAAATCCCATGCGATTGTGAGACAAGAATTGAAACCAAATTTATTCTTCAATCAACAATCCTAATTTCCTCTGTTCTCAATGTGAAATTGAAAACTGAAATTGTTAGTTTGATGTTTTTGATTAATCGGCATGATTATTTGTTTATTTATTTATATCCAAATCTCCTACGTTTAATTTTTCTCTGTTGACCATCACTATTAATTTTTGTGCTTAATCGTTTTTGATTTTGTGCTGATCGCTTAATTCTATGCTCCATAATCTTCATCCTGTGATTTAAATATTATTTCTAGTATTATTATTTTTTAAATGCTCTATTGATTAGCTGATCCACTTATTGTATTTCTGAGAAAACAAACAACGTAAATAGATCATTGATTCATGACATTTAGTAGTAATACTAATTTTTTATTTAAAACTGGAAAATCCAATACTGCAGTTACAGGCTTGATGGCAATGAAGTTCATCTATTTTGTTGTATCAACAAACTAACTTAATGTAATAGGCACGGCCAAATTAGCGGAGATTCAAGATTTTGATTCTCGGTTTGTTTACAATTTATTTGTTTCGAAGTTCTTACAGATCTTCTGTCAACGTAGCTTAAACTTATGCTTCATTGGAGCTTTAGATTCTTCAAAAAGCTGTGGAAGATTTAAATAAACAAAAAATGCAAGAGCAGTGTTAAGAGTAAATAAAATATATAACCATCTTATCTTACGTTTTTGAAAATTGAATTAATATTAGAGGAGGAGCATAGGAAAATGGCTATTTATGTTAGTTTATAGATAAATTATTTGTTTTTAGCTAAGGTATTGGACATTGACCTCGTGATCCAAGAAAAACCAGTTAACAAAAAATAGGTTCGATCATACATGAACAAGACAAGCACCGGCTTAACTCATGTATTTTATGATATTGGGTTTTGAACTATATATATAGGACCGTGTGCTTGTGATCTAAACTAAAAGAGGATTAGATTTCATGTGGCCTTTTTCATAATAAGTAGAAATATAGTATCATACAAAACAACATAATTAAGCAGAAAAGTAAAACTTGTGGCGAGATGGGATTTGATTTTTGATTTCAACTCTAGCTATCAGAAAACGAAAGCTTCATCATGCATGACTTGCTAAAGGAAACATAGAATGATGATTAGAGCTTTAGAAGAGAGGAATATTTAAATGTGATTTTTTCAGCTCGGTAAAGAACATCATACCATGCTTCTTGGCAGCTCGGTAAAGAACACTGGATAATATTCTATTTAGTTTATCATCATATGCTTTTGTTTTAAAGCTAAGGGAATGTCCATGCTTTATGTTAGGGCTGACCTCTAGAAACTATATATGAATTTTGCTAGTTTATTAAATGAGAATAGGATTAATATTGTGGTTTTGCTAGTTTATTGAACGAGAATATAATTTTGAGCAGGCAATTAGAGTTACATTAGCAATAGTTTTCAAGTAGAAAAGAGTTTGCAAA